TCCTTTTCTTCCTTCCTTCCTTCCTAAAAAATATGTGATGAAGCTGTTCTCTTCTCTCCATCCACATTCCATTCCTTGTAGGCTTTATAAGAGCACATGATTTTATGCTCTCATGAGTCACTCTGTGCTCATTAGTTCTTCTTTTTTTCTTTTTAAATTGGTCACAAGCCACTTGGGCAACACTGAGTTGTCTTTAAAGTACTTTTATCTGTATCCAGACATATTGTCCTACAGTAGCACTTTATATCCTCTTTTCCAGTTTATCAAATTTCTAACTCAGTCTCTACAGTTTCAAGTGTATTTTAAAAATGACTTTTCTTGCCCTTTCCAGAGAGCACATTAATAACTGCATCAGGTGGAATGGATTTTCCAAAGTGAACATTACAACTGGAAACAGAAAAAAGTTAGTTTGTTGTAATCTTAACATCAGAAGCCCTGCCTATTGCAGAAACCTTATGACATTTTTATAACGAATTGCCCTATTTTGACCAAAATTTTCCTTCTCTTAATGAAGACAGTATTTTTCTGGCTAGATGCTGCCCAGGTCTAGCCCTTTTGCATTATCTGTGAGAAAATCCACCCCAAATCAAAAGTCGGTTTGGGATAAGCTGTAAATCTGATTATGTTCATAATAAAAATTAAATCCCTCAATCATTAACAAACAGAAAATTTATAATACCTGTGTGCATCATTGACATTCTAGGTACATTGAGGTTTAAGTTGAGAATGAAAATAAGGGGCAGAAACTTACTTTACTCCTACAGAGAGAAGCTCAGAATGCTTCTGTGACATCAGGGTTTCTGTTTATCCCTAAGGCTCTGTGCCAATGACTTCAAACTTTGATGCTATCTTTTTTTTCTACTTATTTCTTACTTTTTTTTCTTCCAAAGATGTTGAGCAGCAGGCTAATGGCTCCCCAGCAGGGTGCAAAGACAGCAGAAAGCACGGGAATCTGATGTCAACGCATTCCTTGGAGATACCCTGCTAGGACAGAGCTAACTAACCAGGGCTTTAGTCTTCTCTTGGGGACTTCGCTTGGATGGTTCCCTGCCCACTCTCAGCTTCCTATGTGCTTTCTGATTAAAATGCTGTCACAGATAAATCATGACTTCTGTCTGTTAGGACTATTCTCTCTCTCTCTCTTTCTCTTCTTTCTTTTTTCCCTCCTCCTTCTTTTCTTCTTCTTCCTCTTTCTTCCTCTCTTCTTCTTCTTCTTCTTCTTCTTTTTTTCTTCTTCTTCTTCTTCTTCTTCTTCTTCTTCTTCTTCTTCTTCTTCTTCTTCTTCTTCTTCTTTTCTTCTTCTTCTTCTTCTTCTTCACCTTCTCTCTCTCTCTCTGTCTCTCTCTCTCTGTCTCTCTCTCTTCCAAGGAAAATTTGGAACCTTAAGATTAAAAAGATGAGCAAGTCCTGGAGCACTATCTACTCACATTTGTTTCCTTATCTCCTATATAATGATCTAAGTCTCCATTATGTGGTCTTCATGCCCCTGCCACCTGGCATGCAGTGAGAGCTAATGCAATGACATAGATGCTTGCTCATTGCTCCACTTTACATCAAACCAGTCATCCTCTCTGTTTTATAATACATCAGTGCAACAGAACCCACCAACCATTGTTTTTGGCTTTATTGATATGCATGCATGTATTTATTTATTTATTGCTGTGCTGGGGAGGGAACCCAGGACCTCACATCTCCTAGGCAAGTGCTCTACCACTGAATTGTACCCCAGGCCTATATGTCTTCATATATTTTCTGTCAGTCACATTCAATTACTTGGTTACTTTGGTAACTTCCTTATGAGTAGATTATTTTGGAGGAGAGGGAGTTCCTCATTGCTTTCCTTCAACACAATCACAAATTTACTGAAAAATGAAGCTATCCCACAGATAGTTTGATTTGCAATGCAATGGACATCCAAGTGCAGTGGTGTGAGTTCCTACCTAGTCATACAAATAAGGGGCCCTTCATGTACCTGCTGGTAGCAGTAGTGTTTATTCTTTGCTCAGAGCAGAGACAAAGCTCAGCACCCAAGAACGTAAGCAGAAAGTGAAATCGAATTACCCAGTGAAAGTCAATGAAGTAAAACAACTGTACTAAAACCATATTTGCATCTCAGCCGCATGTACATGCTCCCCTCCCCTGCCTGCTCTGTCCCACACCTGTACCCTGTACCCCTGAAGCAGCCTTTACCCTCTCCAGACTTCATCTGTCCACGCTGCTCCGCCTGCAGGATGGTACCAGCTCTCTCCAAGAGAGTATGTTTGCTTGGGCTCTACATGATGTTCTTGTACCTCCAACTTGGTGTTAGGGCTTTGGCCACCAGAAGGGACATTCTTTGTCTCCATATACTAACCCGTGCCCTTTTGTCATATCTTCTGGTCAATTAGGAAGACCAAACTGGGTTCCTACCAGTTCTGTATTTCAGACCTTGTCATTTCAGCCCTGTCATAGAAAGGATTGTTGCCACTCACACATGTCCCCATTTGCCTCTACCCCTCAGGCTCCTTATCAGTTCACTGGTATGTTCAAAACCTCAAAATGGCCTTTCAGCAACAACCTGAGTTCTCTCATATATTTTACCTAAGTGACCAGTGTCATATCGTGACTTTCCTTGCTTGTTATTTCCTTAAGATTTTGTCTTCCCACTAATGGAGACTCCTGTTCAGTAAACCAACTCCATTTCTGGAGATTATCCAGTTAAATAGTGGGGAAACACACACTGCATGAGATGGAACAAAATCAGGATGCCCCAGAGAGAGTAAACTCTCACTACATCTTCAGTTTGAGGGCTCTTTGAAAAGTTGGTTTCAAAGCCTTATGAAGAATGTACAAATGAATTATGACATTAAAAAGAATAGTGGTGCTAAGGAAATAAAAAAAGAGCAAGATTTTCATCCTCTGTTAAATGAGAAGGTACCAGAGGGGAACTATGAATGTGACCTTTTTTCCCCATGTTTCCCCCAGGAGAAATTAGGAGTGGGAAAGTTGAAAGCCATTACACCGAAGCAAAGGTCAAGGTGAACAGGATAAAACTCTAACATGGTAGGTGCCTTACTTAACCTTTCTATGTGTTAATTCCCTGCAGATAAAAATAGCAGATGTATCTAACGTCATAGATGAGTAGTAAAGTAAAACAGATGTGAAAAATCAGGATGATAGCTCATGTGATGTGGAAATATTACTCCCTAAATCCTCAACACTACTATTTTCAGTTTAAATTCAACTGCTTCCTTTTTAACCTGAAGATTTCAAAGCGTTTAATAGGAAGTGTGTGATGAGCCCAAATAATTGTGAATCATCTGTGAAACAATTAAATTAAGCACACGAATGTTCTTTCCACCATTTACTATAACTAATCATATGGGAAGAGTATGTATACTTTTGGTTCACTCCAAAGTAGCTTTGCAAACTAGTACCCCAAAATAAACAGCCCCAGTAAAAGAAAATTGTCAATTGAAAGAATAATTTATTCATCCCATTTGTAGTCTAAGTGTACAAAGAGAAACAAGTAACATCAAATTTAATTCAATGTTACCTTATGTTAAAACATAACTCAGTCAAGGTCAATTTAGCAAAATAAGAGATACCTGACCCAGTAGCTGTGGACTTCCCAATAGAGACATCAGGATGGGAGGAGCAGACAGGATGAAAAGAAAGTTGAGGATTCCCTTAACAGTAAAGTATAAATCATTCTAAATTTTCCCCAGTCTTTCATTTTTAAATGAGAGAACATTATGATCATTTGTAACTAAAATAATTTATTTTCGATTATTTTAAAGCCATATCTGGCTAATTTTATGCTACCAAGCATTAAATGGATCATATAAAACAAAAATAATTTACTTTTGCTATTTATTGTTATTAAAAATTACATTTCCATCATCAAGACAATGTTCTAATTTGTTTTTGTTTTTGTTTTTTTTTCAGGGTACTGAGACAAGCCTCAGCAGTTCCTAAAAGTACTGAAAATAAAGTGGTAGATAAGTTTGAGACTTAATGGTTGTGAAGTCCTTAAAAAACAATACTGTGTTCCTAATGAAGATACATAGAGTGAGAAACTAAAGAGGTTTTGCTTTCCCTGCATGTTTCCCACTTTGAAGTTAGGAACACAGCTCAGCCTGATTGAGCTAGATCAGGGGTAAAACACTCGCCAGGTTTTTACCGATAAAAGCAAATGCTTAGCAGTGGAATTAAAAGCCAGTATACACTAAACTGTTAGTGTTAACGGATGCCAGCACTGATACGTACTCAAATAGCGGAGTGTGAACCATTCAAAGCTGACACTGGTCTCCTTGCCAGGAGCAGGCTTTGCACACCAGATAGCAGAGCTAGAAGTCATTAGTGTAGCTCACTCAGAATTCACTGGTGGGCATATGTCACATGCATCTCAGAGAGAGGCAGATTTTGAGGATGGAGAGTGCCTTACAAAGCCTGGTGGTCCAGACTATATGTCAGAGCAGAAAACCAAGTTTAATGAAACCCTCGTGTCTCAAACAACATTAGTAAAAGAAAAAGTAGAATAAAAATTTCCATGGTCAAATATATTTGAGAAACTCAGAGTTAATCAAGGTGAAGTGTGTTTATTTTGTGCAATACTTCACCAAGTCTTCAGTATTTTAACATGCTATATGGAGTTTCCTTAGTAATTAGGCCTGTGAGCTGTGTTTGAAGCAATGGGTGTTAGACAATGGCTGCATATTTGTATTCCATAGGAGACGATTTGGGAAATACAGAGATAAAATATTATTCCTGGTTTATAGATGAAGGAAACGAGGCCCATGGAGATTTCCTGGTAGAAGTGGTGGAGAACTCAGGTCTCCAGCTTCCTACTACCAGCTCTTGGGTCAGAAATCTGAGAAAAGACAAACTGCATTTGAGTTTGCAGCAAAGTACATACCCTAAAAGGACCTCCTAAAACTAATGCTTCCAAAAGCGCCTGCCTCACACGCTTCCTTTTCTAGCTCAGTTAGGACATACAGACCCTCCCAAATCAAGATTACCTGATACAAGGGCATGCAGATGCTATCAATCCATTCCAATTGCAACCGAGGCAGTTCATCTTTCCGGTTCCGGTCAAAAATAGCCTAGAATGGGAAAAGAGATCCTTGCTTTATTACACCAGAATATCTTATAGGTGCTTTGTCAAACATTGCCACAATGGTCCAATTTTTACCAACTGAACACTTCATAAATCATAATCAATCTTTGCACATACTTTCTTTTCTTTTATCTATGATGAAAAATAAAGTATTTTCATCTTTTTAAAATGAGGTTTATAAGTGAATTTATTTGAACTTTATAGCATACAACTCTTTAGGGCCAAAATCTGTTGTCAGATACAGGTAACGACTACTAAATCAAGTCATCAGGTCACTGGGAATTGGGTACAAGTCAAGGGAGAAAGGAGATATATATATTTTTGTCACAAAAATAATGCAGGCCTTTGTTTCTATAGTGAAAGGGAGGGTCGATTGAAAAATATCTTTAAAAACAATTTTATTTTAAGTAGAGCTATATTAGTTTTTAAGGGTGAGATGTTAGTTTGACAATCGTGTATTTTTAATAAGGTTCTTTCGCTGAGAAGTTTCTAAGTATTTACTGATCATTGGATGGACGATGGTGGGAAACATTCATTCTTTCTTCATTCCCAGTCTTTAAACTTTATAATGTGATTTGTGTTTAATATAATTTAGTGTTTGATATAATTTAGGCATATTTTTGGAAAAAAAGAAGTGACTTACTTCTGTTGAAAGACTTGCCAAGAGAAACACTTAATTGGAATTGGAGAGTTAAAATGGATTCCTTCAATAAACACAGCCAATTCTACTCCAGTGAGAATGTTTCTCCCCTTGTTCTTAAAGAATAAGAAGCTACTTGTGCCCTTATTGATCTGGAAGAGGGGCACTACCTAGTTAGAACTCATCTCACCTTCCTGTCTTAGAGGAGGTTGTATCTTTTCCGGTAGATAGAATGTGACATCCACATCATTTTGGTGTCCTTATATGTTATCAGAGCAGGTCCCCCTGGCCTAGAGATATTGGAAAAGCCCATATTCTTAAGATTTATGAACCATGGTGGTAGTGTGTGGGGCAGAAATCACACTGCCCCAAAGCTACCAAATCTGAGGAAAATATCTCTAAACTAGGGAGTAGGTCACCAATACCCATAGCTCTGTACACCCTTATAATATGAAAAATTCAGGGAAGAGTATGAAATATGCTGGAGAAAGTGACAGTTCTTGTGAATTACACGAGTCTTAGTTTAAAATGTTCTTTAAAAATATCCTGTTACTAGTCAGTTTTGTGTTACTATAACAAAATACCGAAGGCTGAAAAACTTTGTAAAGAAAATAGGTTTATTTAACTCATAGTTCTGGAGGTTTGAGGACACAATTTGAGGGCACTTCTTCCTGGCAGTCCTGAGCAGCATAGAGCACCACATGGTAAGAGGCAGGTAGTACACATGGGTGTCTTCTGGCATTTCTCCCCCTTCTTGTAAAGCCACCCTGATGACCTTAACCAATCCTAATCACCTCCCTAAGGTCCCACACTCTGAATAGTGCAGATTAAGTTTCCACCTTCCTAATACCTCATAAAGGGGATGAAATTTCAATACATGAAACCCTGGGAGACACAGACACACCATATCCAAGCCATAGCTCTCCTTGCTATCTGAACTATTTGCTTATTTAGTTATGCTGTTTCTGGTGGGTATTATATACAAATAGTTTTGTAGTATTTTCACAGTTGTACAGCTGTTACCACCATCACTTTTAGAACATGTTAATCGTCTCCAAATAAAACCACCATATCAATAGCAGAAACTTCATTTTCTCCCAAATACACATCTCATATAAATGGAATCATATGATACGTAATCTTTTGTGACTGACTTCTTTTATTTAGCATAAGGTTCAAGGTTCACCCATGTAGCATGCATTATATTTGATTCTTTTTTTTTAATGGTATTTCATTGTATAGACATACCATATTTTATTTATCAGTTGATGTACACTTGTGTTGTTTCCACTTTTTGACTATCATAAATAATGCTGCTATAAACATTCATGTGCAGGTTTTTGTGTGGATGCATGCTTTCATTTCCTTTGGAGAGATACCTAGAAGTTTAATTCCTGGATCATACAGTAACTTCATGTTTAATTTTCTGAAGAATTGCAAATTGTTTTTCAAAGCAGCTTCACTATCTTACATCCCTGCCAGCAATACATGAAGTTCCTAGTTCTCTAGCACCTCACCAACACTTGTTATTGTCAGTCTTTTTAGTTATAGCCCCCTCAGTGGGTGTGAAGTGGTATCTCATTGTGATTTCAACATACATTTTCCTGTTAGCTAATGATTTTGAGACTCTTTTCAGGTGCTTATTGGCCATTTACATATTTTCTTTGCCAATTTAAAAAACTGAATTATTTGTCTTTCTGTTGTGTTATAATAGTTCTTTCCATATTCTAAATACTAGACACATATCAGCTATTCAATTGTAAATAATTTCTCACATTTGCTAGATTGTCTTTTCACTTTCTTTATAGTGTCCTTTGAGACACAAAAGTTTCTAATATTGATAAAGTTCAATTTAATTTTGATGAAGCCCAATTCAACATCTCTGGGCCATTTTAGCTTTTGTCTCTTGTGCTTTCGGTGTCATATATATCTAAGACAACATGGCTGAATCAAATCCATAAGATTTATATTTATATTTTCTTCAGAGTTTTACTGTTTTAGTATTTATATTTAGGTCTATGATCCAATTTGAGTTTGTTTTGGGGTATGTGAGAGGCAGGGCACCAACTTCCTTCTTTTTGCCTGTGAATAGCTAGCGGTCCCTGAACCATTTTTTGAAAAGATTATTTTCTCCCACTGAATTGTCTTGACATTCATGCTGAAATCAGTTGACCGTAATTGTACAGGTTTATTCCTGGACTAGTCACTGTTTATTCAGTGTTCATGCAAGAAAAATGAGCACGAGGTACCACATTGTCTTGTGCTCTCCCTTTACAGCATTTTGCATCCTGTAATTGAGTATTAGTGATTATTTACTTAATATCTGCATTTCCCACAAGGTCCATGGAGGCAAGGAAGATGGTGTCTTGCTCACTTCTAGATACACAGCGCTCAGCTTCATGCTTGGTTCCTGGAAGTACTGAAGCAGATTTTATCAACTGACTTGCTGCTTCTGGTATTAGCCCTGTGGTATGGTCTAGATGAGCCTTTGTCTCAGTTACTGGACCATGACACCTGGGGAGGAGGAGAGCACCAGGACAACTGTCCTCTTAAAAGTCCAGGGATACTGGATATAGTGGTGTCCACTCCAGGTGCATGCACTTCTAGAAGTTTCTGGAAAACAACTAAAGACGGACAACCCTGCCCTAACAGCCAGGCCCCTCCTGAAGACACGATCATTAGCTGTGGTAAGCAGCCTTTTGTGAGGAGAGAGGGGCATTTAGAGCTGTTTCTACCACAAAATTAATTTTATTTCTCTCTTCAGAAAAGGTCTTACCTGAGCCTACAGATAAAGTGCTGCCCTACTGCACCTGCCTGCTCACCAATACTGGCAGTTTACTCATATATTTTTTTCATTTGACTAAATGATCTGTGGTAATTCTGCATTGTAAATCCTTCAGAGATGTCTCTGAAACAGTTTTTAAAAGGAGGGAAAAGGTTTTATTTTAAATTAGGTATGTAAGAGAGAAATTTAGGTTATATTAGGTTTTTACATGTGAACTGTATGCATCCTAATCTCTTTATTTTTTTATTTTTCTAATCTCTTTATTTTTATAACCCAATTTGGTGATGCCACCAAAAAAGAAAGGATATTTTGAACACTGTATAAATTGATGCTGCTTTGAAAATGAAAATAATTGGTACAGACTAGATAGTCATGTGACCTTTTGTAAGTAAGCAACTGGTTAAGGATAGTCAACTTGAATAAGACTGGTAGTTCTGACTTCAAATGGGTGCAACTATTCAAGATGGTTCTGCTTTTTCTTGCTTTTAAATGTCAGAAAAGTAAGGTGCTGAAAACTCAGAGATCTTACAAGTACCTCCAAATGTCCAAGACTCAGTTGATTTGAATCCTCAAAAACAGACATTCTTGACCATAGCACATTACCTGGGCTTCACTGAACCTACGGTGCTGTGCTGCCTGGCTTGAAAATGCTTTGCACCACTCTCAAAGTGGCAGGGCTCTCTGGTTTTTGGCAAATAATTTATTAGGAATAAAGAGGCTGCCCCTTCCTGAGGCGGGTGACCGAGGCATTTGTGCCTTTCGTCTATCTTGAGCCTCAAGATTCTCAAATGAAAACTGAATGGTTAAGTCCAGCACAAAGAGCATTCCAAGCACCAGCACCTGTTTCCCAGGTGAAACTCTTCATTTTGTAAACGAAGAAAAGAAGTAGACCTGAAATGATTTGCTTGTGAGATTTTGTAAGTTCAAAACTGGGATATAAAACTCTGCTCCTGAAGGGTGGACAGTTTGCCTTTAATTTTTTGATGTATTTATTTCTGTTCCAAAGTAGACACGTATGAAATGCCAGCACTGGGCTTGAATGACTCAACTACACCTTGCACTTCCTCTCTTGTGCCTACTGTGTGCCCCATTGTGAGTGCTCAGGAAATGCTTGTTAAGTAGCTCAGCACTCTTAATCAGAAACCTGGGAATTAAGAGTGTTTAGCATTTAAGCTTAATTAAAGCTTGAAACTTTCAAGAGTCTTTCCTTAAATCCCTTCTTAGTCTTTTTCATTTTCAAATTGTGATTTGTGAAAATGTCATTAAGAAGGGTAAAAAATACATGATAATGAAAGAATGGACTTACTGAAGGAGTGAGTTTAAGTTCTGATCTCTCCCGATCTCCTTGTTCAAAGAACTCACTGGTTACAAGTTCAGCCACCTGAAACAGAAATACTTTAACTTATTTGTAGTTTGCCACGAGACTCAGACATTATTTCTGGCTTATGTACAGAGGGATCATCTTCAACACAGACCATCATTTAAAATGCTTATGAGGAAGTATATTAACCTTTTGTATTTGAAGGTATTGCAGAATTTAATCAATGAAACTGATTTCCTTTTAATGAGAACTTGTGTAATGTATTTTTAGATGTGTGCCAATAGATAATTCAGGAAAAGTTCCTTTACAGAAAAGTGGAACTAATAATAATCTAATAATAATTTATATTATTATTATATTACATAATGATAACCAATTTTTAGTTGTTTCTATGTAGATTCTTTATGCTGTTATATACTTTTATTTAGTCTGTCTTCATCTTACCATCACAAGTCTTCTGTAACTCCCTTCTTACTAATATTTGTGTACACTCTGGAAGGGATAACTATAGGATGTCTTCTGCTCCCTTCAAGGGGCAGGACTAATGCTAGCTTCCCAGTTCACATCAGACTTGTAAAGTGTGTAATGATACAGTTCAAAAAACATAGACCAGAATCTATGTACTGAAAGTATTAATATGCATCAGGACCTAGTTGATATAAGCACAACAGAATGGTTATTGTGTCCCAAACCACAGAGACCTGTATTTTCCTACCTTTCATCCATTAGTATGGATGATCAGCACCCCAGCTAAAGGGATTATTTTCTTTTCTCCAAGCCTGCACTTCTCAGGATCATTCATAAATTTTTTGAAAGCAAATTGACATAACAGATAAGGTTGAACAGGTATTTCCAACAACACTATGTTGGGCACCTAGGAAATAGCTGAATGAACTAACTGGATTTACAAAATACTGGAAGTGTAGAAAAAGAACTTAGACAATTGATGGCCAGAAATCCTGGCTCCTCAAACTAGTTTTTCTTCATTCCAGGCTCTCATAAAGATAAGGTTCTCAGTCTGTCAAAGGTGAAATGGGTTTAATTTTGGTCAACTACACAAAATCAAGATAACTTATTTACATGTATCTCAAGAGATGGATCACAGATAAAACTTAAATACAAAATCAAACTCAGACACACACACACATGCACAAATCTGAGAGAAGCAAGTATGGAGTTATTTATAAAGAAAATGAATATCCAGTAAGGTCAGATTTCTAACATTTTAAATAAGAAATAAAGGTCCCTTTCAAGAATTCAACTCCATGAAAGCAGTGAGAATTACTGATGAATGGATAAAGAAAATGTGATATGTATGCATAATGGAGCATTATTCAACCATAAAAAAGAATGAAATTATGTCTTTTGCAGGAACATGGATGGAGCTGAAGAATATCATGTTAAGCAAGATAAGACAGACTCAGAAAGATAAATGTCACATGTTCATTTATAAGCAAAATCTGGACCAAAGGAAGGAAGGGAAGGAGGGAGGGAGAAAGAAGAGGGCAGTGGGGGGTGAGTATGATCAAAGTGCATTATATGTATTATGAAAATAGCAAAATGAAATCCATTAAAACTGTGAGATAAAAAGAGGGGCAGGTAGGAGTGCAGGGTAAGAGAGTAACTGAGGGGATAAATAAGATCATATGATCAAAGTACATCATATGTATATAGAGGAATATCACGATGAAATCATCTGTTCAATTAACATATGCTAATTTTTAAAAGTAGTTGGAACTACAACTCAAAAGACCACTCTCCCTCCAACCTCTGACCACAGTCCCTTTGCTTGTGTGCTGTGTTCTCTAGGACTTGATTCACTTCTCTCCTCTACTACCTTTGCTTTTATCACTCCAGGCCTCTCTCCTTTCTCTGGTCTTCCTTGAAAGAAGAAATGGTCCCCTTAGGGATTTCCTCATTAATTCAGTACTCAGAACTCTCCCTCAGCTGGCTCTGAAGCTGCTCTTTTGCATTAAAGACTGTAAATATGCACATCAGGCACCCCAAGGTGGGAGTGCTGCATAGGTCTGTAGTCCCTGGAAAGCAAAGAAATTAAGACAAAATCCTGTCCTGACTCTTTCTAAAGAGGTTCTGTGTATCTCCCCTATGCTTATTTTATAGCTTAACTTGTACTACTGTTTTGTTTGTACTTAAAATCCACACAGGAACATTAAGTAGTTCCTGATTGAATTTTATTAAAGGAGATTGAGCAGCTACTCAGGCCTTGGGGGATCCCTGGGGAACTCCACGTGCTTACAGTCCTGTGTCTGAGGAAGGAAAAGAATAGACCTCAGTTAATACCAAAAAATAAAAAAGCAGGCATTTTGGAAAGGAATTCAGAAAAATGACATCCAGGAAGTTGAAATATATTTACATTTTAAAATATATAAATATATTTTATATATAAATTTTTAAAAATATTTTTTAAAAGGTCCTAATTTTTGTCCAAATGCTTCCTAAAGTCAAGAAATGAGTATAGTTTTTAAAATATCTTAATCTATTCAATTTGGAGACAAACACGAATGAGTTTTTCAGCTTAGAAGCTGTGTGACAAGCTTCCTCATGGAAGCATTTGCAAAAACATGGTCTTGTGTTTTATTTCCTTGAACACTTATTAGTGTTCTGCACTATCAGCAAAACATCTAAAAAAATGTTTATTTCAGTAACTAAGAAGACCACCTACAAGCATCTATTGGACCTCCCAAGTTGATCTAAAATGTCAGGGCAGGAATTGCTTTTCTTCCAAGTACCTTGCTTGTCACTTTCATGTCCCAGATGGGCTACTGCTCCTCTTAGTCACTGGGGTTTCTGAAGACCCTGGCACTTCATGCCTAGCCCCACTCCCTTTCCAGTCTCCTATACTCACCCCCAATTCACCTAACTTCCTCCCACTTTACACACGTACACACACACACACACACACACACACACACACACACACTTCCATCCCTATCATAGCATCCACCCCAATACTACACTTTCTCAATTCCTGGAAGAGTCACCTACCTCTTCTCTTCAGTCTATTTTCAAACTTTACTTTCCCACATGGAGGGCAGAGATGTTAAAAGTTGCTACTCAACCACGCAAATTCTTCAGCTACCTAGTTTTATGTGACTTTTTGTGACTTTAAACATGTCACACTGAAATTGAAGTCAGAGCTCAAACAGAGAAGAGCACTAAAAAAAAAACTGCCTGGTTTGCATAACACTGAGCAAGAAAAAAAGCTCTGTTTATCATGAAGCAACTGAAATTTCAGGATGTATTTGTTATTGCAGCAAAACCTAGGCTAAAATCAATTAGTACAAAAATTAGCAAGGAAACAAGGAGCTCATGTTAAAAAAGAAAAGAAAGTAATAATGTACCCTAAGATATATAGCATTAGCTTGGTGGTCAGGTGAGGCTATCAGGATGACACAAATGTCACACAATTTTGTACAATTGTCACTGAAATAAAGCTAATAACATTCTTCCTGAACTTGTACTCTTAGGAGAAGAGCTTGGAAAACAAAATGTTAGTAGCAGGCAGTAGTTGGTATTGACTATCTCCCCTAGGTGTTGCACAAAGCAAGCTCAGAAAAGGATCCACAAGTTTATAACTAGAAAAGAAAGGGAATTTAAAGAAATTTGGATCTTGCAAAGATGGAAGATGCTGCTGCTTCTCGATTTCAAACACTAAAAGTTAAAATTAAGATGTTTTAAATGAGAAGCATCAATTAAGTCTTAAAGTGAGAATCCAATAAAGGTATGGCTAGCACCCCAATAATTTAAGCTGATTCAATTAGGTGATGTGCAGCAATTTTTTTAACTGGATAAAAAATGGCTCATAGAAATGACTTAACTACATGGTTCTCTCACTAAAGCCTGTGAGGCCCAAGATACTACAAATTAAGTCATGAGAGAGAAAGAAAGAATATATTACTTTTATATTTCTTTATTCTTGAGTGTAAGGAAGCAAAAAAATGCAAAGAATCTAAGATGCTTGTATAGAAGAGAACTGTGGATATGATTATTGGTAAATGGAAATGACTAGAATCAGAGACATAGGAAGCTGATTAAATGTTTAAGGGACTTTTAACACTAAAGAAACCACAAGACTGTGACAATATAAAATAAGCCTTGGGCCCTCAACCTTTTGTAGAAGCAGGTTGAGAAAGCTGCTTGACCTTCAGGTAATGAGAAGGACAATGGAAAAGGAATAATTCTCTGGGAAGGATAGAAAGGCTATGGAAAATAATGAACTGGGAAACACCTCCACTGGAATCAGGCCCACACACTGGAATCATTCCACTGGAATCTCCATACACTATGGCGAGCCCTCATAGTATATGCCAAGGGGAAATTTAGGATTACTTTGGACCACTAACTAAAAATGTTCCTCATCTCCTCCCTTGCTGAACGGGAGTGCTATGATGATATTTTATGTTTGAGGTGGATGTTAGACTCTGTACTTTGGGTCTCTAATTTGTACTCAGACCTGTTATAGAGGCAAGTACACATACTCTAGAGATTCTGGACTTTGAGTTCGATGCCCTGGCTGATAGGCCATTTGGGTTGTCTTCCCTGAGGAGAGGAAGAGTATATTTTGTTGGTAAGAAGGAGAGCAAGTCATATTTTTGGTGATTAGAAGGGTAAACTGTGGTAGACATGCTTTCACCAACAATTTCTAGCTTTCTACTTGCTGAGCACATGGAAGGATTGTTCTTCTTGGTAGAGTGGGGTCATGTGACAAGTTTGGGCAAATGAATTGTTGAAGGGGGGCATTTAATTACCAGTGCCTCTGACAGAATGATCCAGATAGTGGTGCCTTCATCAGCCCAGACCAGAATGAAGACAGAGTGACAGCCAACCTTGGATGCACATATTCACGAGCAATTTGTTTTAAGGCAGAAGGTTTTGGGTTTAGTTTAGTTTGTGGACACACTGAATCACTGAAACTGCAATTGATGCATCCTGTGTAGCAAGGTCTAAAACATTATGAAAAATGAAGTCTTGAAGCCTAATCTGCTACAGTCTCATTTTTACCTCCACCACCTAAAAGTTGTAGGATTCCAGGCTACTAATCCTTCTTAAGCCTCATTATTCCCATTTGTGAAATGAGGATGATAACTATATTTCCTAAAGATGGCAAAAGTTACCCCAAACTTGGTGGCTAAGACAATAGGAATTAGTTCACTGTGCAGAGTTCTAGGGATTGATGGGCTATGCTCCCTCTGGGGGTTCCAGGAGAGAATCTGTTCCTTGTCTCTTACAGTTTCTGGTTACTGTCGGCACTCTGGCTTTCAGTTTCTGCCTTGGCTTCTCATTGCCTTCTTTTAAATGTGAGATCTCCCTCTGTTCTTTCTTACAAGAACACTTGTGATTGAATTCAGGGCTCTCCTGGCTAATCTAGGTTCATCTCCCCAGTCAGATTCTTTAATCACATCTGTAGAGATAGAGATGCTATCCTCAGGTAATGATTATAGGTTTTAGGATTAGCATCTGGTACCTTCCATGGCCATTATTCCGCCTACTATATTAACTATACCTATGTTAAAGGTGTTTTAAGGATTAAATGAGATAATATGCACAAAGCAGTTATTTATTGATGTATGAAATGTATCTTATTTTTCCTATAATGTCAGCCTTTTTTTTGCCATAGTGTTTTTTAAAATTTTTTTATTTTTTCTTTTATTCATACGTGCATACAATGTTTGGGTCATTTCTCCCCCCTTCTCCCCACTCCCTCCCTTACCCACCCCCCACTCCCTCCCTCTCCCCCACTACCCCCTCGCTACCAGGCAGAAACTATCTTATCTCTAATTTTGTTGAAGAGAGAGTATAAGCAATAATAGGAAGGACCAAGGGATTTTGCTAGTTGAGATAAGGATAGCTATACAGGGAGTTGACTTGCATTGCCTTCCTGTACATGTGTGTTACCTTCTAAATTAATTCTTCTCGAACTAACCTTTTCTCTAGTTCCTGGTCCCCTTCTCTTATTGGCCTCTGTCACTTTAATGTCAGCCTTAATATACCAAGTTACTGTTTGGGCCCCATGGTTCACATACTAGGTGCTTCATAAAGTTTAATAGCCAGTTGGTAGTCCCAGCACTTGGGAGGCTGAGGTGGGAAGATCACTTGAGCCTGAGCAACATAGCACGATCCCATCTCAAAAAATTAAAAATTAAATAAAAAAAGAGAGAGAAAAGTTAAAGAGCTATTAACTCATAAATACTATTAATAACCAAGAATCTTGAGTTGGGTAGTTACTTGACTGAAAACTATTGTTGCCATAAAGCTAATGTTTTGGGGCAGTGAAAATAGATAGGTGTCAAGGTATGATTTTTGTAGAACAAATTAAATTGGATAATGTACAATTTGGTCATAGATATCTCTGCTATCTAAGTAGTATTGAAAAGGAAGTATAGAATTTCATTTTTAACCACCTTTTTTTAAAATGTGAAAAGTAGGACCTTGTGCGAAGGCATGACTCAAAAACACCATTTTTTAAATGCTTGCCTTAAGAAATGGTCAAAGTGTTATTCAGATTTAACACATTGCAAAAATCTTACAGGCAGAAATATTTTTGCTCAGTGGAAGCACAATGAACTGTGTTGCGACTAAGCCTGCTGCTGTGTTAATACTGATGCAAATCGACTAGGGTTTCAGTGCCTGGTAGTCAGGGCTCTGGGAATATTGTCATGTCTCCCCCTCCCCCTGCCCCCCATTCCCTTCTCTGCTGAGCCCTGCCATTAATCACCACTTGCCTGTCTGGAGATCTCCCACGGTTTGGTCACGGCTCCAAGGTCACAGGCTGTCATTAACATTGATCTGAAAAACAGAACCAAACAAAACAGCCTGAATAATCCTTTGTTGCATTCCTAAACAAACCTGTCCTAGATACATAAATAAGTAAAATGAAAGTGAGGCCAGCTCACATCTTCTTTCTCTCAACAAGGGGCAGCACTGTTTATAGTCCTTGTGTTCCGAATCTCCATCGTGTGGCCACCCTGCTTAGAAGACAAAGCACTCACACATCTTCCCTTTTGTTTTGTCTGCAGCAAATCAAGGAAAGCAAAACACTTTTCTCTACACCTGAGCCTGGTGTAAAATAATGTATAATGGACAATGTTTTTTAAACTATAAGCAAGGGAATCAGTCTATAACACTATATAAATGGCCAGTGAATCTATTTACCATCTTATCATTGATTGATGGGAAGGGAAGAAAACCCACATCAGAGGTGAGGCACATGCCATGGAAGGAGCGCTTTCATTTCCATGGGTTCCATGGAGCTAAGATTTATGGGTGAGAGCCATACAGTGTCGCTCTAGTTTACTACCTGACTCCCACCATGTTTTATACTCAGCTACTGCTTTCACTCATGTGAGCACGTAAGAAAACACAGAAATGATTTGAGTCAGATTTTTGAGGGACAGGCTTAACTAGGATTCTCACTGAACCAAGGAAAAACGGGACTAATTCAAGTTGTACGCATTATAATTTGCTGTGGTGGGAGAGGGAAAAACAAGGCACACTCTTTGTCAAGAATTTGCTTTTTTTGCGCTAAAACCAGCAGTCTGCGATGCAAAGCAATACACGATTTGAGCTGAGAGAGCACATCTTGCCTGACTGCTTTTGGAAGAAAGGATTTGTTGTTAATGGGCAGAGAGCTGTCGTGCTGTCAGATGTTAATGTTTTCTACCCAGCAGATCCCAATGCCTTAAAAACATGTCTGCAGCCCACATGGCAGAGCAGGCTCCACTGTAGTGCAGGTTTGTATAACTTCCCCAGGAAACCCTACAGGGAGCAAGCAGGAGGGCAGATAACAACAGGTCATTCAAGGCAGAACAGGCAACACCAGCATCAGCAGCCCTCTCTGATAGGAGAAGCATTTAAGAAGGAGCTAACTCCCAACATCGGTGTGTTAAGCATTATGTGAAGAGAGACAAATCAGTCTAGTCTTCATTTTTGATCTTCTGTAACAAGCACTTGTACAGTGCTCACCATGCACCTACCTCTGTACTAAGTGCTTCCTTAACTCAGACTAACTACTAGCTAAGCAAATCCTCATCCCCATCCTCAAAGGCAGGAGTTATCATTGTTATTTACAAGTAAGTAAGCAAAAGCATGGAGAGATTAAGTAACTTTCTCCAGGTGAGTAAAGGATTCACCATTCTGTGCTTATTACAAAGTTATCAGACTCCATCTCACTACACTAGAATGCTTCTCATTTTAGGTTCTTTAAGGTACCTAAGGAACCAAGACTGTGGGTGACACATAGGACTCTGTAGGGTCTCCTCAACGGGAAACAATCCCCTAAATGTTGCTTACTTGGATCACAATTTGGATAATTACTTAGTTCTATTCAATTGTTCATTTATAACTTTTTAGATTCATATCACCTTAATCAGTTGATTAACAAGTTTCTTGTGTATCTGCGATGTGCTCAGGTGACAATAATTCTAATAGCTAGCATTTACTAAGCAGCCACTTCAGGGTGACTGACATAGTTTCTTCATTAGTTAAGGATACTATTATTATCTCCATTTTACATGTAAAAAATTACAGCTCAGAAGGTTAGGAAACTTGACCAAAGTTATAACAGCTAGGACATGTGAAGACTCTGTCTTCACAGAGTCTGACAGAAGAACCTTTATTCCAATAAATACTCTGTGGGGAGGGGGGGCGGTCAGAAAGTCCATATAGAGAGGACGGAAGAGGCTGGGAGGTAGGAAGGATGGAGTGGCCGAAACCTTTATTCAGTTGGTACTGGGAAGTCATTTAAGGTTGAGGACTCAGGAGGAACCTGATTAGAACTTTAGGGAGAAAACTTAAGATCATTTGAGTAAAGAGAGAGAGTGAAGGAGAGCAGCTGGAAGCATAAATTGATGGGAGCCTAAAACAGGAAGGGCAGGAGCAGAAATGCCAGGTTATGAAGGAAGAACTGGAGGAGATGAATGCACAGTTGTATCTTAATTTTTAGATCAAGCTTCTGCAAAAAGTGAAAGTTCATTACTAAAGTAAATGGGCAGGGAGGGAGTTTGTACCAATTGTTTAAGTCTAGTCCAATTTACTGTTAATTTGGGTCAATCAGTTCGGTACAATCGAATGAATGGCCTGGAAGAAGGTGGGCACAATGATTTCTGTCCTATGTGGAGTGGGAAAAGAATAGTTGTGTAGTTAGCATATCTGATACTCTCAGAAGATCATTTTTAATATACCTGTCATTTATATGACAAAACTATTCCAATAGTGATCTTGGGGTAATTGTTATTTTCTTCAGTGGTTGTGTAGTTTAAAACAATCATCAACTTAAAAGGCATTTAATGTACTTTAAAAGATATACTCAAATTCAGTAAAAAATGTCATATATGAGCTGAAGTCTGCACTTACCAAACAAAAATATATTGCACCTTGCAGTTTGCATTCCATTTCACCATTTAAAATTTTAAACACAAATAAAAACCACAAGTGGTCACATAAAATGAAAGACTAGAAGAAACTCAAGTTATGTTTCTTCTTCTTTCCCATCATGGTGCTATCATTGTTTATTCTGCATATGTCATGTAAAAGCATAAGCTCTGCAAGATTGGAGGCGTGAACTATATCTGGAGTGAGTTCAAAAGGTTCCAAAGGGGAATGCACTCTGCGAAGTATGTAGCTGAATCACCTGTGTCACAGGTGCCACTGTATTACTGGGCACTCTTGGATTTAGCTTACATTACATGCACAACAGAAGGACAAGGAATAAACGTGTGCTAACTTGAAGCTTTCCTGTCAGTTATTTTGACTCTTAACAGTAACCTCAGCAATTGTGTAGAATTTATACCAAGCAAAGACTTTCTTCCGGGAAGAATAGTTCATTGTTGACTTTGTTCAGAATTTCTGGCATATGGTGATGATTAAAAGCAAATGGGTTGGTTTTATTATTTTTTTTAAGTTCTCTACAGACAGTGCTTCAGCAGAGGCCTGGCCACGGGGCACCACAATCAGAGGGTCAGAGTCAGACCATGCACTGGAGGAGGGAGGATAGACTCGAGGGCAGGGGAGACTGCCTGGAACATCTCCACTTTACACACAGTGCTTCCAAATAAGGTATTTCTTTCTGATGCGGGTTCCCTGCCAAAAAGGTTTGAAAACCTCCTTAAGAAAACATCCAGGTGGAGATGCTGGCACTTTAGGAGTGGAGCTGAGAAGACAGCCTTTGCCCAAGAAGCCAGCTGGGAGTCATCTGAGAAGACAGTAGTTGAAAACATGAGGACGCTGAGGAATAAGAGAAGCAAAGCAAAACTAGGTCTAGGGGACGGTTGGTTACCTTTAGGGGAAGAAAGAGGAGGGCTAGTGCAGGACAAAGACAGGAAGAGTCAGAAAGACAGGAAGAGTCAGAAAGAAAGCAGAAACTGCAGGACACCCTGGCTTTGCAGAATCCAAGGCTGAAGAGAAATGTAAGGAAGGAGAGGCCATTCGATTAGGGGCTCTAAAGAGATCAGCAAGCTGAAAAGAAGGAAGGTCGCAGGATTTGATACTGGGAGGTGACCAGTGACCTCTAAGGGAGCAGAAAGCACATTTCACAGGCTTAAGTCCTCAGGAGAGGAATGGCTAACCACTCTGCGCTATCTCCATATTTTAGACTATTGTGCAACTCTAAAAGATGCTGAGATATGGGCATGGAAAAAATTAGAGTCATAGATAGAGTTTGGTGCCAAAATAAGCTCAGATTGGTATTTAAGTATATAACTTATGTTAAAATTAACAGAAAATTCACATGAAACAGTATTTTTCCTATGAGTACACAGGTATGTAGACGCTTTGGAAATGGGCTGGGAAACCACAACAAGCTATACAAAAGCATAGCTGTGCAACCAGTATGGGCATTGGGGATGGAGCTCAAAGAAGCCTAGGTGTGTATCTGTGGTAATCTAATTTATTACAGAAAACTATATTCATATAATTACTCATGAAATAAAACATAACATTAAAAGAATTTGGAGAATGAAAGAGATGAGACCTTGAGAATGGCAGCCTTTACAAATTTTTGTAATTTGTAAAGCACTATGGAGCACAGGCTCCCAGGCTGGCCTCAAACGCACAATCCTCCTACCGCAGCCTCCCATCTTTTGGGATTATAGATGGTAGCTCTCATGCAGGGTTTAGGGATGACTTTTAGTTGAGGAGGTACAAGGATGTTTTTAGATCTAGCCAGGTCACAAGGGACAAAACAAAATTTCAAAAACACAAGCCAAAATCAATAACTGATACAGTGGGGTGGGGAGCAGGGGGTGTGATGGTAGAGGCATTATTGGAATTAGGACATGAGTGGAGGTGTTGTCTTTATTTTATTTTATTTTTTTATTCATATATTCACATGTGCATACATTATTTGGGTCATTTCTCCACCCTGCCCCCCTCCCCCACCCTCTCCCTCCTTCTCCTCTCCCCCTCGCCCCCAAAGGTGTTGTCTTGAAGAGAGGAGGGGTCTCTCTCTGGAAAGAAGAGAAGAAGGTCTGTAAAGTAATACAGAAGTATTAAAGTAGAGAGGGGAGAGACAGAAGGCCCTTTAGTGATAAAACCACAGGAGTGAGGTCAGCTGCAGAGGAAGGGGGCAGTGGAACCCTGAGTCCTGATGTTGATGGCAGAGAGTTGATACAGCAGGGTTGAGGCTATGATAAGGATCCTGCTTTGGGTGATTCGGCAGTTGCCTGATTGTAAGGCAAACACAGTGTCCTAACCCTGGCCACACAACACTGGTTTTCTGTGCAAAGTCTAGCACAGGCCCTCATCTCCACTCCCCAGATGACTATTGTAAGAAAAGAAAAGATAGCGGTCCACTTTTTTTTGGTATTTGCTAACTCTGGTTTCTAAGGTTCAAAAATCCCTTCTCCTCCCAACTTGCACTTTTTCACCCCTAGGAAAAAGAAGAAATCATGGCTTGTTGAAACTGAACTAATTTGAACATCATTTCCTAATTTTGAAAGCAGATTTATGGAGAGGAAGCAAAAATATGAGAAATTATAAGACAAAAAACCCCTACATTCTTTATCTTGTCTCAAGTTATTCAACTAATCTCAGGATGTTTTGAATGTAACCTAAGAATTTTTACTTTAAAAATCACTTATATGCTCTTAGTACTGTCAGAAAAGTGTGGTTAAATGTTCAAATAATGAAAAAACACATAAACATGAGCTTTTTCTTACCGAACTATGTCACGATGGTTTTTGATATTCCAATCATATTCTCCTTTACTGACAAGTTCAAAAAATTCCGTTCTCCTCCTGCAGGAAAATCAAATGAAGAAGAAAAAAAAAAAGCCTGGAATGAAATTTCTCAGTCTGTGGGGTGACATAAACACATTTATGGGGAAAATATAAGAGCACCCGAGCCAAGTAACTTAATATTTGAAATCATGAGGCTAAAGCACTATCAAAATAAATCACTTAAAAAAAAAAAGGAATGTTGAAGCTGCAAGAAAAATTCACATCATTTCTGAATACATTTACAATGGAGGAGATTATAAAGCCATAAAACAGAAAACAATGTGGTACTGCATTTAGGATTATGTGCTGTGAAGCCCTGGTGACACTTACTGAAAGCCAGAGAAAGGAGGCAAGGACAAATAAAAAGGAACAATTTCACAATGTTTGTTTATCATTCAACAAAGAATTGAGTTGCATGACAGTCCAAGATAGGATAAACTCCCTGGTAGTAAATTCAAGATAAATATTTGTTTTCCAGGTTAAAAAATAACTATTTCACCATTTCAGTGCTCAAATGCATAGGCTATAGAGTCAGAACTGTTTAAACAGTGTTTCAATTGCCTACTTGTTGTGCAACTTTGGGAAGTTACTAGCCTCAAACCACTTCCTCTTACCTATGCTTCCCCCATAGCTGGGATTACAGGCTTGACTCATGGCACTTGGCAAAATAAACAAAATTGTAAATAAAGATAAGATATGCACTTGTATGATTCGCATCATTTGCCACACCCTAGTCCAAGCTTGATGAGGCTAACATATATCAGATCCTTCCTGCATTCCTGGCAATCTTCATGGGTTCATCAACTACTCCCCACATGACCAACCTTGAGAACATTATTTAACCTCCATGGACTTCAGTTTTCCTATTCATAAAGGGTAATAGTAATGAGATTACCTTATAAGGTTGGTGGGTGGATCAAATGAAATGACTCATGTAAATCAGTTAGCAGAGTGCCAGGCAAAAGCAGGTGCTCAGTAAGGATGTTAGTGTTATTAAGCTCAGAAGGAGTAAGTACCTGGCCCAAGTGCTCACAGCCGGTAAGTGGTAGAGCTATTGGAGCAACAGCTCCCCCAAGCAACTAAGATATGCCCTGGGCGTCCTGGGAGCAGAAAGGAAGACCTTAGCTTGGAGGGTCGTGGAAGATCATGGGTGGGTTTCTGGAAGAACTTGTCAGTCATCATCCTTGTCATTCTATGCACCTGAGTGGACATTTTAATCTCTGAGTTATTTCAAGAAATGTCCAGAATGCAAGCCCGGTGAGGACAGGGTCCTGGCCAATTTTTGTTCATTACTTATATCAATGCCTGATAGGCAATCAAAGCTCAAAAATATTTGTTAAACTGATGAAAAAATTAAAACAGCTATCTCAGATTTTTATTCATTTTTAAAAGTAATTCTTCAGTCATTGGTTCCACCTAGATTCTAATTGTTGGAAGGGCTTCATAGTTGTCATGTAGAGATTGAGATTCTAAAACAATATAAGATCTATTCAAGAAAAGTCCTGTTATATTCAGACTATATTCTAACTGGAACCCACCTGACAACAGAACAAGTTGTACAAAATAGGAACACAATTCCCATCCGATGTTCCATCTGCTGACATGTTTAGTATGTGGAACCTAACACCCATGGCTCACTCACTGCCAAAACACTGTCCCTTTTTAAAAAATGACAACATTTGCCAGTAGTGGAAATATTAATAGCTAGAGTCTCTGGTATGAAATTCCTAAGTAAACTGAACTCAAAATTGGTCATGGGTTTCATGTGACATTAACAAAGCTAGATTACCTCATATTGGGAAGAGGGGATAGTCATCTCAGAGAATGGTCGAGCCTGGCACCACAAAAAGAACCAGGAGAAGTGTAGTCACTGATAGGATCATATATACTATACATTTGGCGATCTATTTCCTGCCCATCATAAAATGGCCACCTTCTAAGTTTTGTGTAAAGCATCTTCATATATATGCTCATAATTTTACTAGGTAAATTGTACATAGAATTCCTCTGCATGTTTTAAAATTTTTATACAATAATATCACAGTTTATGTGGGTTTTGGCAACTTGCTTTTTTGATGTTTGTGAGGTTCATCTATGTTGTTATATATAATTCCAGGATATTCAGGTATATGTACAACTGTTTACCTACCCATTTCCTGATGATGGCAACTAAATTGCTTTCATTTTTATTTTGTTATTACATATAATGCTTCTATGAACAGCCTTGTGCATGTCTCCTTGTAAATTTGTGAGTTCTGTGTGTAAAATGCATGGGTGTGTCTGCAGGTATATGCATACATATATGTGTATGTGTACATAAAACTGCTGGGAGACAGGATGACTTCTGTGTTTGAGTTTTCATTATAGTTATAGACCATGAAAGATGCCTTGAGCTTTTGAGAGAAATAACTACAACTCTTTCATTTCACAGATGAGGAAACTCAAGGTGAAGGAAGGTGAAGTGTAGCACAAAACTTTGGGGCCAGGTAGGCTTTCCTGTTGTGAGTTTATGCTCAGTTGTGGCTGCCAACCCTTATGAGATGTGATGGCCTTGTGGGCTGCAGTATCAACCAAGGTAGACCCCAGACAGAGATCTTGCCATCATCATCAAGGGGCTGCTCCAAAGAAAAGCTGTAGGTAGCCCAGGCCAAGCTGGTGGTCCATGGTGCAGGTGATGTGTGTGTTTCTGACCTCCTCCTTTGGGACAATCATTACAAAGCAAAAACAGGCAATCCTCTGTGCTTTTGGGGATGAGTTAACCCATGTAGCTGTTCCTTTTAACATCTACACGTGTATGTGTGTTTAGATTGTATAGAGTCACGGCATAAGCATATGCGAAACTATTAGAAATCAGAGCATTTGTAGGAATATGGGGCTCTTAAAATGAATATTTGAAAATCCTCAAAATTATATAATACCCTCTGGATTCAGAATTCTTTGTCATGAGGAACTATGTCATTAACTCTCAAGCAGATCATTGGGAACCTTGGTTTTCAAGGACAATGGCAAGTACCTTAGCTAGTGAAAAGCAACTTCCTGGAAAATCTCATTTATAATCAGATATGTTTTTATTAGGCTTTTATTCTGCTCTGCTGACATATGTTCCACTCAGAAAAGTAGCAGTCTTTAAAAAAGCATCATTTGAACAGAACTGCTAAAATTACCCTCAAAAATAACTCCAAAGTTTGGTTACCAGTCACCGATCACCACATTGAAAATCTTTCTGGTCTGTGATTTATCTGCAAGGTACTATTTATTTGTAAAATAAGAAATCACCATTCCTGTGTGTATATTAAACAGGGATTTTTTTTTGAAATTTATACATCTATACATGTGGATACATGTCATTATCGATTCATCTGATGCCTTTGAATCTACTAAAAGCCCATGAATGTCAGGGAGCTTTCCTGTGGAGGTAGGGAGCCATTATGTGCCTCCCCTGCAGTTTGGGCTCCAGAATCATCAGTCAGGGTTGTGTATTTGTGAACAGGAAGTGCGGGTGCACGAGAAAATTTATTCTCAGTGTTCTTACAGCTTGCTTATAAGCAAATCATACATTTGTAGTTAATTGCTAAGTGTAGATCTCAGAAAGATTTCTGGACACAAAAGCCCTGGAGAGAGGAATAAAGAAAGAAATATGCAGATGTGAACTCCAGTGATTAGGACTAAAGAAAAAATAATTGTATATTGAATTTTTAGCATACCTTGGTAGTGCAAGGGGTTTCATTGTGATAGTTCCATAGATGTGCACAGTGTTCTTTGAACAAGATCACCTTATTATATTTCCCTAATTCTCCTCCCTCCTCCCCTTTTTCAAATGGAGTTGGTGGATTTGTTATGCTATCTATCTATCTATCATCTGTCTATACAATATAGGATCTCACCATACAACCAAGGATACTCCTAACTCCGCCTCCTGAATGCTGAGATTACTGGTGTGCATAATCACACTCAGAGTGTATGTAATTTTGAAGTAAAATTTCTCCTTTTTCAGACTAGCACTGATAACACAAGGGCCAGCTAAGAATGTGAATGAAATGATCTATTTGGTGCTGTGCTGTTGTTGATATTATTAATAAAATTGACAAAATGCAGGAAATGGGAAGACTAGAATTACTTACTTTAAACACTAAAAATGGAAGATTAGACAACACAAGACCCCAACAGTCAATTCATTCAAATCACAATCACCAGGCAAAGAGTTGGACAAGCTGTGGTGTAGACGGAGCTTCCTCCGGTTGCTCTCTGCAGTAACTTCAGCCAGAGTATTCTGCATGTGATAATTTAATTATTATTTTCTCTCTTCCCCAGTGGGATCTGAGTCCCTTTGTGGAAGAGCTATGTCTTTCCACCTGCACATTCCCAGTGACTAGCACAGGGTCTGGCATAAAAAAGGTGTGGAAATGTTGGATGAGTTTCTCATTCTCTATTCAGTTGTGATATCATGTGGATGAAGATAGAGGGATGAATATGCACAAAAATGTTTAAGTATGTCAAAACTATCCAAGTATTTCTTCCATCATCCTACCATAGGGCCTGTTGTTCTAGCATTAGAGGAGTTTCAGTGGGTTAGTTCATTAGGCGCTGTTAAAATATGAGAATTTTTTGGAGATAGTAATGGGTTGAGCCCCGTCAGTTAGTAACACCTTACTCTGTCTCAGGTTATCTTCATCCTTTCCAATAGTTGCTAGCTGCATGTAGGCAACTGAGAAAGGTGAAAACAAAGAACACAGTGGGCTTTAATAACGATGTGTTGAGTGATGAATGAATGAATACTTCTGTCTGCACAGCAGCAGAAACATTTGTTGACTTCCCTGTGTTCTGGTAACTTATCTAGCCATTAATTTAATTTTTAAAAGAATGGTCAAACTATTACTCAAAGCAATCTAAAATTGCTTAGTACATTTTGCTGTCTTCATCAGATGCTTTTGATAAATGCTACTATACTGCATATCTTTGGAAAGACAAAGACAAAGAATCCATTAGATTGGGCATTCCCATAATTGCTGATGGGTGCT